GACTTTTGTTGCTTGGAATACTTTGCCCTTTATTCAAATGATATTACAAACTGTGCTGTGAGATACACTTAGCATGAGGCTTACAGGAGTTACAGCTTTAAATATTTGCTATTCTTACTTTGGGTTTGGTTATCCCTTTTATGTGGTGTTTATGTGTCTTGGGTAACTGAAGATCCACAGAGAGATATGTCTGTGTGAGCATTGCTGGTGTGGATAATGTGCAAGTGCATTATAATAGCACTGGTATTTCTTTTTGCCAACAGTTGCTTGTACAGATGTTAGTAAAAGGTGAGTTAGAGTCAAATGGACTGAGACCATTACTGAAAGAAGTTTAAAAGTCTCAAACTGTTGAAATTCTGTACCTGTTTCATTGTGCTTCCTAGCTTTAAACTAAGCAAATTGAGAGCAAATTATGATTATTTGCCTCATTGTCCCAAGTGTGGCCTTTGATGACAGTTGAGCACTTACTATTTAGAGGAATGTTCTGTGTGTTCTGATACTTCTGCAGTGTCCATCCCCATCCACTGTTCCTCTCCTCCCACCTTAATTTAGTCCAATGTATAATGACAATGAACTAGTTCACACTGTCCTCAACAATGAAGAATGCCCTCTGGCCCCAGGTCTGCAGACACTGGCATCACACTGAAGTGTAGTTTACACAGAAGAAATGCTATCAAGTTCACACAGTTTTGTCAGGTTCTGCAGGCTCCCATTCTCCTGGGGGTACTGCAGCCCCTTGAGGATCATGGTTAATTGCGCTAGCCCAGTGCTCCAGCTTTAGGCTGGAGCAGACAGTTCCAGTGCTATATTCTCTTTCCTGTGTCCCAGAGTAGGAGACTGTGTAAAGTTTTGGTGCAGAAGCAAGTGCGTTTTCACACCAGATATATATCTGAATAAAATATTTTTAAAAATCTAGAGCAAAATGACTTTGGCTAAGCATTCCTAATTAAAGAATGTGTTCTGAAAAAAGAATCCTACTTATTGCAGAAGGGTGAATCAAAGGTCGTCTTGGTGCTTGTATCAGTAGTTTGGAGGAGAGGGGAGTTTTTAAACTCTGTACAAACTTATTCCGTAAGGACAGATTTCACCCTTCTAGATTCTTCCCATTTCATTCAGGATAAGGGCAGTTCTGGTCTTTGGATCACCTGAGAAACTGCTAGCCCTAGACTGACTGCTTTGGCCCTTATGGCTGGTTCAAATTGAGTTGTCGACAGGAAGATGTTGAGATGCTTGCAATCTCTTGCAGATGTGTGCACGCTGTGTCTTGTCAGCGGGCACATACAGCCTGTACACAAGCACTGAACCAGCTAAAATGCTTCTTAGCTACAGAGCTACTACAGGAGCTGCAAAGAAACTACATCAGCATATTTAGATCCTGCAGGTACTTTCTGACTTCTGCTAGAGTGGACTGTGTAGAAGCAGGGAATGGTTGGGTTTGGAAGGGCCAGTAAACATCATTTAGTTCCAACCCCCCTGCCATGGGCAGCGACACACCTCACGCTAGACCAGCTTGTTCAAAGACCCATCCAACCCGACCTTGAACACTGCCAGGGCAGGGGCAGCCACAGCTTCTCTGGGCAACCTGTGCCAGTGTCTCATCCCCCTTGAATTTCTTCCTAATATCTAATCTAAATCTCCTCTCTCGCAGTTTAAAGCCATTCCCCCTTGTTCTATCACTATATGCCCTTGTAAACAGTCCCTCTCCAGACTTGTTGTAGGTCCCCTTTATGTATTGAGAGGCTTTTCTAAGGTCTCCCAGAGCCTTCTCTTCTCCAGGCTGAACAAGCTGAACTCTCTCACCCTGCCTCCATAGCAGAGGCGCTCCAGCCCTCTGATTATCTTTGTGGTCCTCCTCTGAACTTGTATGATACATGTCTTAATCTTATGAAGTACATGTTCTTAAGGGTGTCATTACCTCATGAAAAAGACCACATATGACATTAATACTATGATGACAGTTGCAGTAACAGATTGCTTGAACTGCCTTGTCTCTACCTCTTTGTTATCCTTTGCTGTCAGTTGTAGACGTACCATATGTGCAAAATCCTATATGAACAGAGAGTTAAATATATTGTTAGTGGGTATTGCTTTCTACAGGTTACATGCATTCCTGCTGAAGTTCTGTACATAAATGCTTTGGTACAGTGAGACTCTGTGTCATGATTTGATCTAAGTAGGAGGTTTCTATTGTTACCTCCAAATTTTTAGCATGTATGCTCTTAGGTAAGATCAGAAAAGGTATCATTAATCAGTATCTATTCTCTTGTTTTCACTGTGTTTCTGAATTAGCCTGGCTTTGTTTTACTTGTGCAGTGGATCCATAATATTAATTTAAACAGTTATTTTCTTATTAATTCTGATATCCATTTTTCTTCCAGACTATTTCTGCTTTTATTGAAGAACTCATTCCTGTGGAATGAGTAATAAAAAACAAACCCATATCATCTGTATTAATGACTGTTATCTGTCATCAGTTTGCTTTTTCAGGTTCTGGTTGCCATCACACACAGAACTAAAGCTGAGCAAGAATATTTTGGTGTTATTCCTTCTCCTCTGAACCTCCTGTGATTTACACATAATATTTAGGCCTTTTAGCTACTTCTAGCTTTAAGAAAAGAATCAAAGAAAGCAAAATTATGAGGTTTGTGATCCCTCATCTCCATGTGATTGCCAGAGAGCAGTGAGGGATGGCTGCTCCTTGAGGGTCAGGGAATGGGGTCCCAGCGCAATAACCTGCTGGCAGAGCAGACTCTGGCAGCCAGGCTCCTTGCACCCTAACAAGGAGTGAGGCAGCCCTAGACATGGGCATGTGCCATAGGATGGGATGGGCACAGCTGGAAACTGTCCCTGCTGTGGTGTTGCTGGGCAGGGACTGATGGCTCTGGAGGGCTGAAATGGGGCCCAGTGTCATGAGCAGGATGGGGGTGGCCCCTGGGGTTGGACAGGGGTAGTGAGGCTTGATGGTGCCCTCAGGGCATGACAGTGATGCCTGAATCTTCTTATTACTGCAGTACATATTAAGGTTAGAAAGAGCTGCTTATAGGAAAAAGTGTACAAAAAAAGCAAGTAGACCCTAGTCAAGAGTGGTTCAATAACATCCAGTGTTTTCGTACTTAATCATTGCACTCTCCTGCCTCATTGCTCCATTTGTATTTTTCTATATGCTTAAAATAGTATGCTATATGCTCAGTTGTTTTCACCATGTGTGTACCTCCTTACTCACAAGAGCATGGTCTTGGTTGCATCCCCACCCTTGTACCTAGCGGTTTTAATTGACCACAGACCTGCCCTGCTCATTAGAGCTTTGAGCAAGGCAGTGGAAATCACTGCATTCAGGGAGTGGAGCTGAATATGGCTTGTGGAAATCTGAGCCCTACTGTTTCCACCCTCAGGAGATGTATTTCCTGTTAACATTTCCTGGTAACTCTCCTGGTATGATTATTTCAGATCTGTGTCACCGCAGCACTCAGTTGTTGCCAGTGTTCCTCACACATCTGGGAACTTTGAGGGGTTTCAGACCTCAGTATTCAAAATGGGTTAATATGTACAGTAAGCCGTTTGACAACTGAAATGGTAATCTTTCATTTGGTATTTTATGCATGAATCAAATCAACTTTCCCACCTTTTATTTCCTCCGTTTTTGACCATTATTTCAAGAGAAGTCAGATTGAGAGTTATCCCAGACCTGTTCATTATCTTCCTTGTCTTCCAGGAAACATAATCCTTGGGTTCTTCCATGTGCTGGACTATGTCTTACCTCCATCAGAAATAGAATTATATTATTATAAGAATATTTGCCCTGTGTACGTTGTTGATAAAGTTGAATGAAGCAACTTCTCTTATCTGTGTCTTGCCCTATTAAAGTCAGCTTATCCAGAATTTGGCCTGTATTGTTTAAGTAGTTCCAACGGGTTGCTTTGCCTTACTCATGGAAAAAGTGTGAAACAAAGCTTTTCTATTCCTCTGGCTCCAACTGTAAATATATCTGTATTTTTTCTTCACAATTAACCTTCAGTGTTAGGACAGAATTCTGTGCTCTGTTATCTTCTAAATTCCAAGCATGTTATCAATGAATTTCCTTCTCTAAATGGTTAGTAGTTTTCTTAATATCTCACCTAATGTCCTGACAATTGATAGATAATGTCTGGCCATGAGTATTTCAGCCTTACAGTCTGAAAATTAGATCAGGTAGCAGCCGAAAGAACATTGTTCCCTAAAGCAAAATGAATTACAGCATTTCATGTCTGATTTCAAAGGTATGATGGGGCTTTTCATTGCATCTTACTGTTAATAACATAGGATATTTGCACACATAATATTTTTGTAAGTTTGGAGGCAGCAGGAATTGTAAGATGGGTGATAGCCTTCACTCCTACATAAAATTTGAGTGATTCACTTGCAGTCTTACCTACTTAAGCTAGCTGTTTTGGAGAGCAGCTTTGCTGTCTGTCTCTACCATGAAGATATCCGTCTTCCTTATTTTCAAGTTGTGATGTGATCTATTTATTATCTGTGGTACTGTGCACAGAAAAAGTGTGCTGAACAGGTGTGATAATGAATTATTAATTAATTGGCCTGTGACTGTTTAACTGTTCGCTAAGTACTATAGGCAGTACTTCCCGTCACCATTCCTTTAATCTGCTTGGTTCTTTCTTCAGCCTTCTAATTTCCTACAATCACTCATTCTATGTGGATGGAAAACACATTGTTAATTCTTTGGGGGCTGAAGTGAGTAATAGTAAGGAGAAGACCAGTTACAACTTTTTCTGGATGGGAAAGAGAGACCAAGAGAGAAAAACAGGATAAGAGAAGGGGTTCTTGGTCTGATTATTTCTGAATGTTTGCTGTGAAAAGGACTTGCTTTAAAAAGCAAGTCAAGGGTTCATATAACATTTTGTTGCTTAGTTAATTAGAACTGTTTTTCATTGATCTACTTCTCTAACAACATTTCCCTGCTTATTTGTCTGTCTTTGAGCAGGTTTTCTTTGGGTTTTTTGCAGATCAGAATTAGCTTCCTGCTGTGATGCAGTTCACAATTTTATTGCTTCTCAAAACAACAGCCCACTGGGAAGTAACATGAGTTATGAAGTGGACAGTAAAAAGACCATCCTCATTACAGAGGACATTTTTAAGATGCTGCCTGTGGTAAGAACTGTATTTATAAGATATAAAGAACCTGTTATAAGGTATAAGATAAGGTATAAGAGCCTCTTATTATAATTACAGTATCATATATATTTTGGGTTAGTAAATGAACTGCTTTCTTTGATTCCTCTCGAAGAGGCCATTCACCCCCGTGTACACTTACTCATTCACCTTGTAAGACCTATTTTTTAACTGCCTTCTGCAGTGATGGATGGACAGGGTACCGTAGAGCACATTGTAGGCAGAGTTGCTAAAGAACACAAGTTGCATCCTGATTTGGCAGCCAGCTGAATTCAGCAGTGAATACTTTGAGCATGTTTGCCTTGCTTTTCTCATTCCCATTTTCAAAGGCATTTCAGTATGGAACAACATTTCATATTCCTCATATTCCCATGGCATTTCTGGTGCTGGCTTGGGCATATAACTTAGGAAAGCTATTTTGGTGGTAAACCTGATATAGAACAGAACAGAATAGAATAGACTATTTCAGTTGAAAGGAACCTACAATGATCATCTAGTCCAACTGTCTGACCAGTTCAGGGCTGACCCAAGTTAAAGCATGTTGTTAAGGGATTGTTCAAATAGCTCTCAAACACTGACAGGTATGGGACATTGACCATCTCTCTAGGGAGCCTGTTCCAGTGCTTGACTACCCTCTTGGTAAAGAAATACTTCCTAATTTCCTAATTCCTAAACCTCCCTGGTATAGCTTTGAACCATTCCCATGTGTCCTATCACTGGATACCAGAGGGAAGAGCTCAGCACCTCCCTCTCCACATCCCCTCCTCAGGAAGCTGTGGAGGGCAAAGAGGTTGTCCCCAGCCTCCTTTTCTCCAGACTAGACAATCCCAAAGTCCTCAGCTGCTCCTCACAGGACATTGCTTCCAGCCCTTTCACCAGCTTTGTTGCCCCCCTGGGGTGGAGCCTTTGCAGCCAGAAACGCCGGTTGAGCAAAGGAATGCAGTTTTGTAGACTGGGACTTCCAGTCCTGATCTACAAGGGACTCACAGTCCCTTACAGACATACAAGCTCTGAAAATGAGACAAAGATGGGCACAGATACGTACTTAATTTCTCAAAAGTAAGAGCACATGGGAGCCCTCTTACCCATTGTGAATTTGTGAGATGCCAGCTACCATGAGTCTAGTCCTTTCTAATGCCACTGTGAATCACTAAAAACTTCATTGAAATAGAGGTTACTGTGGCTCCAAATTTAAACTGAGTGGAAGAAAAAAGTGGCATATTTTATCTGAACGTATACTTGCTAAGTTAGTCAGAGTTGTTTGGCCTTTGTGTTCTCCTACTGTCTTTTCAGAATTGAGCAAAACATTTGAACGTGTTGTTGATGTCTGCCACTTTCCCCACACCTCTTGCCTTGTTCGTAACAGTGTCACTTCCTGATTCTCTTCCAGTAAGCTGCTGAGAGAAGGAGGAAGGATAATGCTTTCTGTAAGCAAATTTTGACTCAATTTTACAAGTGAGTTCAGTTTCTGCAGTGAAAGTAGCTCATCTATTGGCCTCTCTGAATGTCAGTGCTTCCACAGCAGGAGAGGCTGAACAAGATGCATGAGGTGTTTCTGAGGCCCTGGGATAACAGCCAACTATATTAATGTCAAATGAAATAGCCAGCAATTTACATTCATTTGCTAGGTTGTGATCTGTGCTGGTTCACAAGTGGCTGCACTTAGCCCCCATTCAGCTTCCCCCCTGCAAGACAGCAATCTCCAACAAGGAGAGGAGTAGAGGGTGAGCAGCCACAAACATTAACTTCTTCAGTTAGCTATCACGTTTGCCATGGCTTAAACCAGGGCACATGACTATCCTTAACAGCATCTTCAAGTTCCCCTAAACTGGTTATTTTATAGCAAGTGTAATTGTGTGATGACAAAGTAATGCACATTTGCAAAGTTACCTTCTGTTAGCTGTTAAAGACAATGACTGTGACAACCCCCAGTCTGTTACAGTGCAAAGGAAAATGGGTAAATTCAACCTGTCTTCAGTACAGCTTAGGTCCTTAGCTTGTAAACATTCAGTCCGCTACTGGGTAACTTTTGTGTTGTGTCTTTAAAGACGTTAATCTAGTTTTAACAATCCTGTGTTATTCCTTCAAAGTTCTGATGATAGATGTAGCAGTTCTCAGTCTGTTGGTACCTATTTTTGGCCCTTGGTCCAGGCATGGCAACCCTGTGTGCTAAATGGTGAATGCTTTTACTGGGATTTACCAGATTAAACCTACAAGGATGAATGACTAAAGGTGCAAAGAAACAATCACAAGATTTATAAGGTATTGGCTGTGTCTTTTTATTTGTTGCAGTCCTCTCCTCTTTCAGTCTATCCCTTCAAGACCTGTGCTGTGGTTGGAAATGGGGGCATTCTGAAAAATTCCAGCTGTGGAGCTGAAATCGATCGTTCTGACTTTGTGTTTAGGTAAGAGCTGCTCTTTCTTACTGAAGTGTGTCTAGTGTTCCTGAAAACTTGGTAGGCTTGGAAGCATGCCAGTGCAAGTTTGTAGCAAGATCTTGCCCATTCTTTATTGCTGTCTCCCTAAGGATACTCCTTATGCTTTGTAAATTTCAGACCACTGCTTCTTAAGTAAAGAGAGGACTATAGGGATACATGTATGATCTATGATTGCAGATTTTTTTTTTTTTTTAATCAAGAGAATAAAGAAAACCCTGAAACTGAAATAAGACTGGCATTAAATGTCACATGTTTACTTTTGGTTATAAACCCTTTGTTAAACAGCACCCTTATGTTGGCTCACTAATACAGTTATTTAACTGCCCCAATATTTGTCTCACCTTCTCTTAGCCATCTAAAAATTTAGTAATCTAATTGAAATAGATTATTTTACCTCCCTCTGTAGCTTGTGGAGAAACCCAAGCACACTCAGAGAGTAGTTTGGTGCACTCTCTTAGTATGTGACTCACATTTTGTAGTTCATGCAGAGGAGCAGTGTAACAGCATGCGGGTTCTCTCAGTGATGTCCAGTCACTCAGTTTGCTGGATTTTGTTTCCTTTCCTACTTCTGACTAATATTTGGGCTTTTAAAATTAAAAAAACAAAACCAAAACAAAGTAAAACATGAAAAAAAGCCAACCTTTCCAGTTATGTAACTGTCTTCAGAAAAATGGTATAGTAAGATGCTAAATTTACTGACTGGTTTGGAAAAAATGCTTTCTTTACCTTTTAGGGAAACCACTGTTTCTGCAATTGGGCAAGTTATTCCATTGTTGTTGTAGAAGACATAATAGAAGACTTCCAGAAGAAATGCATTGTTTAGGCAAGAGGGGCAATTACACCTTAGCACCTAACGTAGGGCATTGATAGACTGGTGCCTTCTGGGATTTTAGCTTTGCTCCTGATTTGTGAGATGATTTGTGAAAATGAGCTCCCTGTGCCCTATTTTAACCATCTGTACAGTAGATTAAATATTTTTACTGGAAGTGCTGTAAGCCTTATTTAATATTTGTAAAGTGCTTAGAGATCTCTGGGAGCTGACGTGAAAGTGTCATTGCTCAAGAGAGGAATTTGCAAATATTAACTATACAGCATTTCTGGTATGCATTTGTTAAAGTAAATGTTTCTCAATTTCAGGTGTAACCTCCCTCCAACCGTGGGAAGCATTAGCAAAGATGTTGGCAATAAAACAAACCTTGTGACTGTTAATCCGAGTATCATAGCTCAGAAGTAAGTGCTACTGCAAATCTGTTTTGGTGCAATATTGTATAATTGTTTGACATGATTTAGATTTTGTTGGAAATCCGTTGGGATACCAGCATAGAGAGCAGTGCATGCAGATTACTTCATTAAGCTTTAGTTTCCATGTAAAATATGTACCAATGTAAATGGAAATCTGTTAAACCTGGCCTTTTATGGAACAGGAAGGAGTCAGCAATGCCCACGTTAGCAAGTGGTTTGATTAGCACCAGTCCACAATTTATGACAGAATAAAACTGATAATTGCAAGCCCAAGCCTCTTCTTTTCCCCCTGTGACCCTTATGACCTCCAGCATAAGAAAGGAATTGTAATCGTAAATCAGGAAAGCTTGGAAATGTGTGTCTGACTCCGTTGGTAGGACTGTAAACACAGGTTAGAACCTGTTCTGATGAAGGCTGTTTCCTGAATGGAGGTCCAATTTCTGTGATCCGTTTTCTCAATCTGTGTAAAATCTACTCACACACTTTTTTCTCAGCAAAGTTCTTTTTTTGCACTTTCTTGATGAAAAGAAAATCTAATAAGGCCAGGCTGAGTAATCTGACATCTTCAGCAGGCTGGAACTGCGGCTTATCTATGAAAAGGACTGCTGTGGCATGTTATTTACTGCTTACTGATCTTACTGTATCTTATTGTCTGTCATAGCTATATTTGTCAAATACACGACATCAGAGCTTTTTATTTTTTTCCTTTAAAGGAAGAAGGGGAAATTACAGTGAGCATAGAAATGGCTAACAAGCATTTGTTATTGATTCAAGGATAGAAAGTGATTTTTGCAGTCAGTACTAACTACCTTAATGCTTACCCAGGACTTTTTGACTTAAATGAAAATGAGTTATTGCTTCCCCAAAACCAGATTTAGCTTACTGATGTTAGAAGGGCTGCACAACAATATGGGGCAGGAAAATTTTGTCCAGTGATTCAGCATCGTTGGTGGCTACTGACCTGGTGCATGATTTGTCTGGGCTTGATCAATGTGTTCCGCCACAGCTGCCCTCGTTTTTTAACCTAATGTAGTCACATCACGGTTCATAGCAGTTACAATGAAGGAAACAGGAGCTGTATCTGCGTAAGGATGAAATGAGATTGAGAGAACTTTAAGATTTAAAAATCAAAAAAAATAATTGAATACTCAGAGAACACTGTAAATGCCTTTGAAAGAGGAGCAGGAAGGAACTTGGCACCATTTAGCAGAACTGAGTTTTTTTTTTTGTCTCAGAAGACCTATTCTGACTTTATTCACTCTAATTTCTAATTCTGTGTTTGAGTACTGGGTTAGTCTGCTGTTATTGTTAAGGTTAATCAGCTTTTGAACTGTGCCTGTCAGGGTGTACAATGTAGGTGAACTCTCCTGGGGGAGAGAAGCACGGTTCTTGTGTGTCCAGATGGAGCTGGGCTACACTGCACCTCACAGGGTCAGAGCTGAAAAAGAAAACAAGACTAAGTTGAGGTTTTCAGGTTTCTAGCTATGGAAGAACAGATCTGAATTGTGTCCTGAAGGCTCTTTATGTACTTTACACTGAGTCAAAATAGAGAAGATTCTTGTAGTAAAGGCCAGAAGTTCACCCTTCAGCCACTCTTCCTAGACACATGCTCAGGCGTTTCTTGCTTGCTTTGGCTGTGTGGCTTGTAGCATGCACAGGGGGCTGGGGTCAACAGGAGGGCCTGAGTTGTCTTCATTTTGCTTCAGAATCTGATGGTAATGTGTCGTGGTTTAAGCCCAGTCAGTAACTCAGAATCATGCAGCTGCTCACTCACTCTCCCACTTTCCTCCTCCCCCAGCTCCTGGAGGGATGGGGAGGAGAATCTAAAGAATGCAACTCCCATGGATTGAGATAAGAACAGTCCAGTAACTAAGGTATAACACAAACCACTACTGCTGCCACCAATTCTAAGCGGCGAGGAGAAGCAGACAGGCCAACCCAGTATGGGTGATAAGCAAACTTCTCTCCAAGGCTTACCAAATTTCCTTGCCGTTTTATCATCATCAAGCATCGAGTCAAATAACTCATCACCAAACTTTCGCCACTCACTCTCCTCAAATACTGTATTAGGATCTACAAAAAATCCCTTAGCCTTCCCTACAGCCACTAGACCTGCTAGCTGCTTTAGAGTCTCAGGCTCAATTCCCCGCTTTTATAAAAAGCACTGTAATAAGTCCAAGGCTACCTCTTGGTCCATTTTCATGGCCGGCCTTTTCCGGATCGTCTTCTTCTGGGTCGTCCTGTAACCTTGGTCTCCGGATTGGCCTCCCGACGCAGCAGTGTCTGGTTCGCCCCAGCGGCGGATTCCTTTCGGTTAGTCCAAGCACCCGCGTCCGCACCGCAGCAGCATAGCCCGTGCTCCCTGGCCGCTGCCGCCGGCGCTGTTTACTCGCCGTTCTGGGTCCCTGATACTCAGGGCCCTGTAATCCGGGTCCCCACCAACTGGGGCCCTGTAATCCGGGTCCCCGCCAACCGGGGCCTTGTAATCCGGGTCCCCGGCAGCCAGGGCCCTTTAGTCCACATCCCTGTTCGGGCACCATTTGTAAGCGGCAAGGAGAAGCAGACAGGCCAACCCAATATGGGTGATAAGCAAACTTCTACTTTATTTGTGATGCAGTTCACTTATATAGGAGTGGTATTCAGCCACTCCTCCTAGGCACAACAGTATTGGTTAGACCCGCACAGCTTCCTCCACATTCTCCTCCCACCTCCGGTTTCCGGTTACCTGTGGGGCCCACCCCTTGCCTTGCTCGCACAGACCTCCAAGGCTCCATGGCCTTGCTCTTAGAGCCATTCTGCAACAACCAATAATAATAATAAGGGAAATAACAACGGAAGAGAATACAACCACTCATCACCTGCTGACTGATACCCAGCCTGACCCGAGCAGTGATCTCACCCTTCTGGGTAACTGCCCCCAGTGTATATACTGGGCATGATGTGCTGTGGTGTGGAATACCTTTTTTGGCTAGTTTGGGTCAGGTGCCCTGTCTTTGCTTCCTCCCGGCTTCCCCTGCTCCCTGGCAGAGCATGAGACTCAGAAAGTCCTTGGTCAGAGTAAACATTACTGAGCAGCAACTAAAAGCACTGGTGTTATCAGCACAGTTTCCAGGCTGAAAGTCAAAAACACAGCACTGCACCAGCTACTAAGAAGGGGAAAAATGACTGCTACTGCTGGACCCAGGACATAATGGCACTTTTTGGGAAGCAGAGCTGTAAGTTTAAACCCCCTCAGCCTGAGAAGAAGTATCACTCCTTGCAGGAATTCAGTTGTTCAAGAGGTAACTGCCAAGTCTTCCGTGAGGGTTTTGAATGGAGATGGTGGTAGCTGCCGTCCCCTGCCTTGAAGTGCTCAATAGGAAGAGGGTTTGAACCTATTCAAGTTGTGAAGAGAAATGAAACCAATTTTTCCAGCTTCTGATGAAGCCATTTGTGTAAAGTGGGCTCTGGTAGTCCTTAAAAGGTGAAAGTACATGGCTCAGATAGATAGACAAATACCTACAAAAGAAGACTCAGTGCTTTGAATCCTAAAAGGGATTCAAGTGCCGTATATTCACGTGATTCAGACAACTCAGATCTATAGAGGAAACTAGGTGAGTGACCCCCTTGTGTCTTGTATCACTTCTTGGGTAACTCTAGAGGTTCACTATTCAATGTTTGGGAGCATGGGAATTAGTCAGTTGTGAGAACTGAAGTCTCCTTGCTAGCTGTTGGGATCCGAAGCATCTGAGAATAAATCCTTTTTATTTGTGAAGTTAGATCTCTAACTCCATCTGTTCCCTTTGTAGTCTAAGGGGATAAATAGATATGCTTATATTTTCAGCTATTTTAAAAGTATATGAAAAACAGTTAAGACTGTGAAACTTGAGCACACACTACTCTTTAACACTCCAAGACTGCTCATATGTGTACTTGCATCCATTTCCAAATGGGGCTGACACCCAGGTTTTGAAGAGAGTTTATTATATACCTCTTGACGTAAGAAACACATTTCACAAGCACATGCAGTATATATCATACTGCGCATAGTATAAAAATACATAGTGCATGTATTTTTAAACACAGGAAATAAAAATGCCTTTTTTTTCCATTCTTCTTTGAAGTTTCTTGAATTGATTAATTCTGTAAACAGGTCCTGGTCTTACTAGCTGTGAATTTGATCTGCTTCACTAACTCCCATGTTGCCAATTCAATCCTATGGTATGTGTTCTTATTATAAAATAAAGACTGATTTTCATAACTGCACATATGACAACATACAACAGATTGGTATAAATTGACTGTATAGACAGGCTGAACTGGTGCAGCAGAGTTCATAACTCATATATGCAACTGTTCCAACATTCCATTCAGTCTTTTCCTGAAATGTTGTACTTTGCAGGTACAACAAACTAAATGAAAAGAAGGCTGAATTTCTGGAGAACATTGCAGTCTATGGAGATGCTTTGCTTTTATTGCCAGCGTTTTCCTTCAGAAGCAACACAGCCACTTCTTTTAAAGTGTATCACACTCTGCAAGAGTTCAAAGCAACCCAGAGGGCAATATTTTTTCACCCCAGTTACCTGAAAAGTCTTGCCCAGTTCTGGAGAACTAAGGGTGTAAAAGCCTACCGGTTGTCATCTGGTTTTATGATCACTAGTGCTGCTCTTGAGCTCTGTGAGAATGTGAAGCTCTATGGTTTCTGGCCTTTCTCAAAATCCATGGAGAAGATGCCAATCAGCCATCACTATTATGACAACCAGCTGCCTAAACCAGGTTTCCATGCAATGCCCAAAGAGTACAACCAGATTCTTCAGCTTCATGGCAAAGGCATTTTGAAGTTGCAGTTTGGTAAATGTGAATCAGACTAAAAAGGTAGGTCACATTCTTACCACATAAAATGTCTTTATTTAAGTAATGTGTCAAGAGAAAATTTGTTTTGTGAACTGTGGGTCTGTTCTTCCTTAGGAAGACATTTCTACCTTACACTCAATGAAAGTTGTGTTCGTAAATAAGTGAAAGGTCTAGAGTTTTCTGAATAAACGTACTACGGAGTAATGTTTTCTAATTGTAAACTTTAGGTAGGGAGCATGGTAAATACACATTGCCACCATAATTCACAGTCGTTTGATACTGTTTCCTCATCTCAGATATGTGTCTCTAGCAACCTGTGTCTGATTTGGGATCAGTTCCCATGAACCAGCTTCCTTCGTGAATTGCTCTATTAAAGGCAATATTACATACCATAAAGTACAAGAGAAAATACCTAATTCTGGCACAGCCTTTCAAGATGTATAGAGGCCAGAGTAAGGATTAAGATTGCCCATGAATTGAGTACCAGGCATATGCACCCTTGTTCCCTCTTGTTAGGTAAAGATAAGTTTAGAGCAGTGTGTTCTCACAGCCCTGGATGCAGCACAGCTTCTGGACAGCAGTGAGGAAGCTGCCACACACTACAGCAGATCTTGCTGAGGATTTTACCTTGAGGCAGCTCAGAATCTGGAAGTTACAAATACAGGAAGAAATGCCATTCCCTTTCTTCTGTACTTTCTAAATGTCCCATCCCCCTTGGATCTCTATGTATTGCCTCAGAGAAGGGCAGCCCAGAGTCTGGACTCTGATTTTAAACCAGTTTACTGTGTGTGGATTATAGATTACTTTGAAAATATTTGTGCATGTTTTCAATCTTGATTTGCCCAGTTCACAAAATAACATCAATTTGTATAAATACTTCCATCTTTCAAACTAACTCAAATTCCAGCTCACAGTACTGTTGTCAGATGTGTCTTTTACAGACCTGTATTTTTCCACGGGATTCAAATTGGTATAACAGTAGGTGTTATGTGTGGTAGAACTACAATTGTATACAATATGCTTTAACTGGACTGATGTAATCTCACAACTCTATTACTCAAGTTAAATAAATGAAAATAGCATCAACTTGTTCAAGCCAGAAATTTTAAGTTCAAAAGCTTTTCTTCTGGCTATGTGAAATTTGTTTGAAAATCTCCTTTGATGGTATTTAGAAAACGTGTTACCAAAGATACATTCACACTTGGTTCATCGTCAGAGACCAAGTTTTAAACTAGCAGATTGCTAGTACCAAGAAGGCACAGTTTTATTCAGTTTCAGTTTGTCGTGGTTTAAACTCTGTCAACCACGCAGTCTCGCTCGCTCACTCCCCCCTTCTTCCCTCCCCCCAACTCCCAAAGGGATGGGGAGGAGAATCGAAAGAATGTAACTCCCATGGATTGAGATAAGAACAGCCCAGTAACTAAGGTATAACACAAATCACTACTGCTACCACCAATAATAATAATGATAAGGGAAATAACAATGGAAGAGAATATGATACCACCCACCGACCGGGCCCGACCTGAGCAGTGAGTGCCCTTCCAGGTAACTGCCCCCAGTTCTACATCCTGGGCATGATGTGCTGTGGTATGGAATACCTCTGGCTAGTTTGGGTCAGGTGTCCTGTCTCTGCTTCCTTCTGGCTTCCCCTCCTCCCTGGCAAAGCAAGAGGCTTAGAAAGTCCTTGGTCAGACTAAACATTTGAGCAGTAACTAAAAACATTGGTGTTATCAGCGCTGTTCCCAGGCCGAAAATCAAAAACACAGCACTGCACCAGCCACTAAGAAGGAGAAAAAATGACTGCTGCTGCTGAACCCAGGACCCAGTTTTATTTGAAGAATAAACTAATTTCATACATTATTAGAATGATATCAAACATGTAAGAAGGAACCTTAGAAGCAATCTAGTGAATCCGCTCTCCTAGTCCGTGACAGGAGTTTACCAAGGAGGAGGTGTATGTGTATGCAGTTTCACATGGCTAAGGTATGCTTTTTCACTTATGAAAAGTTGCAGCATACTGGAAAGGTTAAGAAATACATAATGCATTTTTTCCTAGTAGCTAAGCTGTTTATACCCTCCAGTTTCCATTGTATTTATTCTTCCTGTAATATAAATGGCTGGAGACATACCATATAATTTTAATTGTAGCAACTACACCAGCTAAGAAAATGAAAGGCAGCTCCTTAGAAATATTTAATTTGGGGAGAAGCAGATAGAAGCCACAAAAATGTTTAAGCATCTGTATGGGTTAATTAAACATTGTCCATGCTTGACAGACTGAAAATCACTTCTGTTGCCAAATTTGTAAAAGAAAAAACCACCAGAAGGGTAAGATGTGCTGCCCTAATTTACATTTATACAAAGAAAAGTGAGTCCTTTAAAACCAAAGGAATTAAATGCTTTCAGTATGAGCTACCATTCTGCTACTATTATCGGCTATTAGAGATAATTGAAATTCTATAATGAGTATATTTTACTGAAGATGACCTTTTCTAAAAATTGAACAATCTCCTTGTTCTTTTCGATTTCCCTTTTATGTTCTTCTCTCTGCTTTGTGCTCTTCCCTGTTAGTGGGTAGCTGAAGAAGATTCCTTACACCACTGGGTGCCCACAGAAGTCTCAGGCAGACCCATTAGTGGAACATGAAAGTTTGGTGCTATAAATAAAAAGTGAAGGAAGCTGCTTTGCTTCAAGCACCTATATTGCAAGCGGGTAGCAGGCTCTGGAACATCACAGGGAGAGCGTAACTGCATCCCAGTGAATCATTTTGGTAGTATTGCTCCTAAGCACTATCTTTGCCATTGTAAAGGTGAACTTTTGGAGTTCATGAGAGTCCAGCAGAGATGGTGCTGAACAACATGGGAACTCCATTTGCCTTCATATCAGCTCCTGCCCCTCTACAGTTACACTCAACAGACATGTCTGTATCTCCTCTGCTAAAGTAAATGCGTACCTATCACAGATGGTAAAATGCAAAGTGAGACATCAGCAGAATCTTAAAATGTAATTAAAATAATGATCTTTATTATTTTTTATTACATTACCAAATCAGTTTTGCTATGGCCCTGCAGCTGAAGGAAGTCTTCTTTGAGCATTGGTTTAACCTGATAAGCCTGAAGGGCATGTCATTAGCTTCAAGTAAACATACGTTCAAGGAGGGAAAATGGCCTGATTCATATTTAAAAATAGACAGAAAAATCTGATTACACAAATTGTCAGATGATAAATTAATCCAACTGGCAAAAATCTGATTGCCCAGAAGCCTGGTTAAAATGCAGGTTTTGTCTGACCAAGAATCCATCAAGTTTTCTGTTTGCTACAAAGAGACGGCAGGGAAGATGAGTATGTGTTGCTTTGACATACAACACAGTAACATTAAGCAGCTGCTCAAAGGAGTCAGTCAACAGAGAAAAAAGCACCCAGACATGGAAAGGAAGAATGAAACTGAGATTCAGTGAGCCTGGGAGAGAGAATAGTGTTCGATCGTCCGAGCGGAAGGACTGAAAGAGGAGAGGCTGAGCAGAGGTGTGCTGGTGGTTAAGGAGTGAGAACTGCTGAACCTTCGACCGAGTGCAAGTGTATCTTACCTGGAAAGTAAAAATTGGGTCTGGGCTTTTTAATTCCAACCAGATGATTAAAAGACATCTGTTTCTGACAGAGCAGCAGTGAAGCCCTCCACTCAAGCTGGAGTTAGCATGGCAGCATCCTGTAAATTAGGGTGCTTCCTGCTTAATTCCTCAGGAATTAACATCAAAGAGAATCATTTTGTTCCAGACTCTATCAGCATGTTATCTTTCTTAATCTTGAAAGTTGCTGCAATCCAAATAAGTCATAAATACTGTTAGAAATAACCCATTTATAAATATAATTGTTATAAATAACCCATCTATGTAGCTGTAGGATACCAACATCAGCTTAAGTTCTGCTGAAATTCTTTCATGCTTCTGGTGCCTCAGTGTAGCTAGAGAAATATGACCTGTCCCACAGTTAATTTTTAATTACCTTGAGAAAAACGATACCACATTTTAAAAATAAGGACACCTCTGGCTTCCTGTCAAGCAGCCAAATCTCAGCCTGTCCTTGACTTGGACAAATATTATCCGGCAGGAAATTATTAGATGTATACAACATTGAACGAAAGGTCTTCTGCTTTAGTGCCCATGCAGTATAGCTTTTAAGCATGTCCTTTTGCCGCTAATTTTAAGTGTGAAGAATAATGTCAGTAATGCAACAAGTTGCGTGTGGTTTGGTTACAATCCACCAGAATAGAAAAATATAGATTAAAGCGAATTTGAATTTATATTTATTTTTGAATCAAATAAAAAAGTCTTTAGAGGTCTAGAAGGGTTTGGTTTTGGTTTGGTTTTCCACAGCAGAACTTGCCTATTGAAGAAATGGAATAATTTCAATCACTAGCTATTTCAAAATAAGATTAAGGTAATGAATTTAGAACATATCCATAGATTAGCAGTGGATGTGTCCCATGAAGATACTGGTTAGACCCAGCCTTGGTTATCTTAGGAAGTCTGAAGGGGTAAGTGTGCACAGGGGGTGTTCTAATGAAGGAGCCCTCCTTTAGAAAGAGCAGACACTAAAGCTAAATAGGGCACTAGCAGTCCAGCTTACCCAGGAGAATTTTGTGAGTCTGTGGTGCTGTATAATAAATGTCACAGACTCCCAGTCTAAAATAAGGATGAAAAAGCAGATGCAGAAGATGAAAGGCACACAGAGAAGACTAAGCTCTTAGCTTATTTTGAATATAATAAGCTATTTTGCTGGTGTACAAGAAATATCAATAACATATTTTACTGTTTTAATTCCAGGGTGATGATCCTAAGGAGACAGTTTGTGTGTATCTCAGCAGTTCAGTGTTGGATTTGAGCTGATGTGGTTTTGTGAGCATTAAGATGCATTGTTACAATAGAGAAACATTTTACACTTGGGGAGAAAAGAGAGTGATTTTTTTTCACACAGTGGCTGCTACATTTCTGAATTTCAAGTAATCATTTTTTTAAATACAAAATAACATTTATTTGGGAAATTCTGAAACTCCTGTCTATTGGTTTAGTTGCTTCAAAGCACAATCTCAGGATGGTGGCAATATGTGACCTTTAATGTATTCTGCTTCTTAAAGGATCATTAAAATATTTTGACATGAGATCTCTGGTTTTGTTAGTATCATGTAATACAGGCAATAGTCTCTGTATGGTAGCGGCATGAGTTGGCAGTGGAAATTTTCAGTTAAGAACTTGATCCTATAAAAACTGACATTTGTCTACATGAGAAAGGTGATGGGAAGAGCTACAGTGGAGTAATTAATTCTGAGCCATGTCATTCTTAGTTTGTTCCAGGGTGCACAGATTCAAAAATCACCCAGGTTGGCGATAGTCAAGTTGTTTATGGGTTTTCATTTTGTGGGAAATAGATAATGGTGTGGCTTTAAGGGGATCTCTCATATGAGCGATGTTAATTTTGTGAGCAAGCGTTTGAAGGACGAATTTGTATAATTGCTTTTAAATCCATCTTCTTGCTTGTGTTTCTATCTAAGGTCCAGTTCAGCTGCAAATGAGAACAGTGAACTAGGTTCTATGCTGCAATCCCTGGAGTCTTGATAGGACATGACTTTGCACACGTTCCTGCAATCCCAGCTCTCTATCTCGGCTGACATACAAGATGGACCATTCATTAGAAAAATGATAGGTACCAAACCCATCATTTCTTCTATTGCTTTTTCACCAACCATAGCTCGGACCAATATGTGACTACAGATAAGGAAACTGCATTAAGCATTATTAGAAGAATGTTGCTTATACAGTTGACCCCAAGTTCTTCTTCTGTACCAGAACATATGAGAACAGACCCTACAGTCCCTGAATTTAAAACCCATGCAGTTCTTGTGCATTAAGTTTTCAGATGGTCCAAGAATACCCAGGGAGCAACATCCTGTGACTAGAGAAAGTGACGTATCAGCCCAGTGGAAAGAATCACATTAACATTTACAGGAGCTACCATGAGCAATTGTTGCCCTAGCTGTGGCTGCTTGTATGTTATTGCTGATACGTTTTCCTGCAGAAGAAAAACCCAACTAAACAAAAAATTGTGATAACAGCTACTGTAACCTCAGTTTCAGTAGCTTTTCTGAGAGTCTTTTGAAAGATCAGTTCAAACATAGTGTCCTTCTTCTTCTTTTTACAGATACTGTCATATATTTTGTTTACTAAAACTCATTTTGCCACCGTAGCATTAATTCCCCAATCAACTGGTTTAAAGAGCATTGAATATTCCACTCATTGAGGATTATATCTGTAAAACAAAAATCCTACTTGAATCAAACCTTATAAGGTTAAAAAATGTTTTAAAGTGATACTTCATAAAAGCATTTTTGTGTTGCAGTATTTGCAAGCTTAACTTGCAGCAGTTTTATAATAACATAAATAGTCCTGAAAGTTTTAGAATCAATCAGTATGGGTGCCGGTCTTTTAGTTGAGACACGTTCAGCATCGTGATCCATTTCCAAGGTAATGATATCGGAATCCAATACTACTCCTACCCAAGGAGAAGCATCCGTAATTCCTGGCTGTAAACACCAGCCATAAAGTAATTTTTTTTAAAATAAGGTTTTTAAAAAGTTGATGGTGTTTTGGGGCATTGAATGACACTGCTAATACATGGGTGGACCTCTGAATATCAATAGGGCTCTTAATGGAAACAAAGTCGATGAGTACATCTGTGTTACCAGCTGGTGACTGAAAGAGGCGAGCACAAGGGTTTGATTTACTGTGATCTGTTATGGTTCCATCACCACACATCCACATTTTATCTTCACCAGCAGTGAAATTTGTGCCAGTTTCTGGCCATAGGCATCTGCTGCTCATGTGCAGAGAGCTGGCAGCTGCAAGACCCTGCATCCATGTTGTGAGTGATTAGGGGTGATTGCCTACTGCAAGTCCTAGTTGTAGATCAAAAATAAATGTGCTCACAGAAGAGCTCCTCCTATACCATGGGATACCTATCACTCACATAGGCTATCCCAGAGTGTTGGTAGCTGGAAGCTGTGCAATGTGACATAGTTGTTCTTTGGGTGATGCAAACAATTTGAGGAGAACCACATCCTATTTTATCCAGAGAGACAAAGATGCCCCTCTGTCTAGGCAAGGACTGTGACTTGTTCCAGTCTAGCACAGTGCAATGAGATGGCTGTGTAGAAGCTACATGGTTTGATTTGGAAAAATTCGTACATCTTTTAGAGACTGAGGATCCTTCATTGTATCCAGAACAATAGTAAAAGTGCTTTGTGTGCACGTAGAGATGATGCAAAGGGTGTCATTCGTTGCTCAGATTAAATTCAATGAGGTACTCAGTGGCTGAAGTGGCAAAACCTGTTTGTGTGTAAGCAGAAGATGTAGAGAGGAGAAAATGAAATGTATTTGCAATGGAGAAGCAATTTCTTTCAGTAGCGTTTATTAGTTAGTTTTGAGTGTATTCCATTATCTCAGTGAATACATCTATACAGAGTACCATGACACATCATGAAGTCATTGTGTGTCTGGACCATTTCTGTGCAGCCATGTTATTTATAACATACATGTACTAGTTACTGGAAAGGTTATTGGAGTACATTTTTAAAAAGGTTTAGCTAAAGGAAAAAACTATTCTAGTTTCCTTAACAGAAAGAGGTCTTAATTGAAGGAGTGTGATGTCACACTCACAAATGAGAGCAAATGGAAGGCTCTGTAACGTGGACAGACACTATGACTTTTTAGCGCTATTTAAACTTGTCATTGACCTGAAGACCTGAATCTCTGTGCTCTCAGAGCTCTCAGTGATTTGTGTGGTGCACAGGGCTAACAAGAAATGTGTGGAGGAATTGTTAACATTTCCTACCCTTTCCCACAAATACTCTTAACTCCTCGTAAAATTAAAATATGCTCTATTAGACTTTAAATTAAGAACCTGTTTTTAATGTAGCTTTCTCGGGCCTTGCTCCAGACGTGAAGTTCCAATTAGATGCTAGTTTCATCCACTTCACTCCACAGGAGTGCAGACCTTGTATTGGGCTTTATTACAGCTATTGCTGCTGTGTGCTTGGTGGCTAGGTCATGTTAATTTGTGCACAGACCAGGCAACCTAATAGTGGTGTTTCTGCGTGACAGGTTATAGTGAGTGAAGTACACTCACTGTAGGAAAGGGTGTTTTTCCAGGTAGCCAAATAAATTCTTTATTTGACATCTACGATTTCTCATTGATTTTACATCTGTGCCAAGTTAATGATGAGTAAATGGATCTTGAATCCATTCTCTAGCTGGGAATGTGTATGACACTTGCAAGACTCAGCCAAGTGCAGCTTTCATGAAGGATTCATGACCAAAGGTTAGGAAGGGCCTTTCAGTTCCCTCTACTTCACATGAGGAATAATAATTTTAGGGTTTGTGGGCCTCCAGTCTGTCACATGCTGTGGAAAGAATATTGAGATTAAATAGTTTTCTAAACATAGAAACACTGACAACGTGCTAATAGTTCCAGTGTACCTTTGCAGAGGCTGACAGTGTCCTTGCACATGACTGCTTTACAGCATCGTTAGATTAAAGCCTGCTTGGCTGCTTTTATTCATTTTTCTCCTCTGAATCTTTAATCTTCCTTTAGGATCTAGTGCTGCCTCAAGCTGGTTATTTCTCTTCCCTCCATAGGGCGTTATGTAGTCCTGTTTAGTGTTTGTTAGGGAGTTCGTATGGCTATGAATCAAATGCTGCTATGCTTGCAGCATAGTAAAGCATACTTTAAATGATTCAGTTTACAGCTCAAGGAAAGCACAGCATGGTGAGATACTCACATTGCATAATTGGAGGTGCTAAAATTGGGCTGTAGCTCCATAGTGGCTTTAGCTGTAATGGCTGGCTCACAGTCCAATCCTCATTCTTGCTCGGCACCACTTCCTTCATGCCGTCTTTGGCTCGTGTCTGATCCTACACTGAGCTGTTTTGGCACACTGAGCTGGGAAAAAACTGACATGGTGGAAAATTGGTGCATGCCAACAGAGCCAGGGGAATTTCAGAGTCAAAGCCAAGGAGGTGGTGAGAGCATACAGGTGGGGCTGTATGGACATATTTAGGTGTCATTTGTTCTCTGACAGCTCTTGGATAGGCCCAACAGTCCCCTGAAACCTTGGTCAAGTCCAGAAGGTGTCATCTCTGG